TTTATTACTCAGATCTTATCTTCTTCCTCCTTGTTCTGTTTCTTTTTGTGTTCTGTTTTAAATTGGGTTTTGTCTTGTTTTTACAAGATTAGGGTTTTGTAGATCAATTCGTGGTTTGTTCTAGATTGGAAGTGATAAAAATTAAGGTTTTTTTTTTGTTTCTTGGATCTGATTATAGTAATGGAAGTGTGAGTTGATTTGGTACCTAATCGAATTTTGAATCCCATTTTCTTATCCTTATGCTACTGAACTTGTTTCATTTCAGAGGTACTAATCTAATAGATGGTAAAGTTTTGTGCTTTTTGTGTTTTTTTTTTTTTGCTTTGGTTAGTGAAACTTTATGTGTAATCATGAATATTGAGGCAAAATGATTTATTTATGTGTTTCTTGGATGGTTTTGATTGAGTAGGTTGTGAGGGTTGTTCTGTTATGAGAAGCAACAGTAGCTGGAAGCTCAAGTGTTTTGTTTTTAGCTGTGGGCCTTGATATTGTTTTTCGACTTTTCATGCGGCTACTTGTGGGGATATAGAAACAAATAAAATCATGGGGTTACTCTGCAGCAGAAGTAGACATCATATTGAAGATACTGATGAGAATACACAGGTTGATTCAGTAGCTCTTTGGCTCATGTAACACTATTGATTTGATTTATGTGTGCATTTAGTTCTGATGCTTCAAGAGTTGATTTTGTTTGTTTTAATCTACAGGCTGCTGAGATTGAAAGACGGATAGAGCAAGAAGCAAAGGCTGAAAAGCATATTCGAAAGCTTCTGCTACTTGGTATGTGGACTTTGGATTATAATGATCTGGTACTATATAAATCTCATGTTGTTGCATTAGAATTTCTTGCTGAGTAAATCTTTTTCTTTATATGTTAGTCAATTGGTTTTTGAGATGTTAAGTGAAAGACCAGCAGATCATTGTGTAATATATGTTTCGTGATTATCATTCAATTCATCAATTTTTGGTTCATAATTTGTTGATGGCCTTGCTTGTGTATCTACTTCTTTGGAGTTTTGTGCCTTCTGTTTTCGGTTAACTTTCGAGTTTACACTAACTTTTTGACTAATCTTCTGTAAAGGTGCTGGAGAATCTGGAAAATCTACAATTTTTAAGCAGGCAAGTTTCAAGGGAAGATTGGTTGTAGTCTTTTACTTTGAGATTTATTTGTGAATTGTGTTCATTGAATGAAACAAAGTTACTAATTTGCAGATAAAACTTCTCTTCCAAACGGGATTTGATGAAGGGGAACTAAAGAGCTATGTGCCAGTCATCCATGCCAATGTCTACCAGACTATAAAAGTATGCAATACTTGAAATGGTTGTGTCGGTTTTCGAGTTATTTGGATTTAGTAGTTGAATCATTTTTTGGTCATATGTTGATCTTGGTATGTTGTACATGTAGTTTAATAGCTACTCTATGTTGTTGAACAGTTATTGCATGATGGAACAAAGGAGTTTGCTCAAAATGAAACAGATCCTGCAAAATATATGTTATCCTCTGAAAGTATTGTAAGTGGTCAAATTCTTAGGTCACTTGAGCTGTCTTTGTTAGAGCTTTGAGTATTGTTAAGTATATTATCTTAATGTATTTCTTTTATTATCCTAAAATCAGGAAATTGGGGAGAAGCTATCTGAGATTGGTGGTAGGTTAGACTATCCACGTCTTACCAAGGACCTCGCTGAGGGAATCGAAACACTATGGAAGGATCCTGCAATCCAGGTGTGTTTGTGTTTGGGTGTGCATGTTCTTTACTGTTGCACTCCAAGTTGAATACATGATTTAGATTATTCTATCTGGTTTGTACTTTCGTTTGAATGACTAGATTTTTCATTTTGTAGGAAACATGTGCTCGTGGTAACGAGCTTCAAGTTCCTGATTGTACAAAATATCTGATGGAGAACTTAAAGAGACTATCAGATATAAATTATATTCCAACAAAGGTATAACCAAAGTATCAGTTTTTGATGAAAGCATTGGAAGTAATGATATAAGCTGGTTGAATAAAATTCATTGGATCAGCCTTGGAGGATCCAGTTATCAACAACAATAGCATTTTTGTTTCCATATTGGCCTAGTCACATCTATTAGGTTCCTAACAAGACAGATCTTCTTGAGCTAGCAAATTTTAGAGACTAAGGTCAATTGCAATTTCTTTGACATGCATCTTCTGTAATGTGTCCTCATTGGTGCATTTTTTGTGTTGGGGTTTCAGGAGGACATTCTCTATGCAAGAGTTCGCACAACTGGTGTCGTTGAAATACAGTTCAGGTGCCAACTACTTTATAATTTACCTTCTTCCCTGTTCAATAGGCATTTTTATGCAAGTCAGGTTTCAGGCTTTTTTGTCTGAAATGTCCTAAGTTGTCTGGTGCACAATCATAATAATTAGCTTAGGCGGTTTTGTAGTCGATTGTAGCTGTGTTAACCAGGAACAGCCATCACGCTAATTCGCTAAGGAGCCAACAGTTTAAAGTATGGTCCATAGTGTAGATTCCCTCGTTAAGAAAAAGTTAAATAAAACTGTTCACCAGTTTGGATCCTATGATTGTCATTTGTTACTAATAGAATCATTCAACTTCTAGACCAATATCAATTTTCTTGTTGACATGAATCTACTTACAACACTCCGTTTACTTAAGACGGATTCATCTATGGTATATAAGTAAAAAGCTTGTTATTTTGTAGTCCTGTGGGAGAGAATAAGAAAAGTGGTGAAGTGTACCGATTATTTGACGTGGGTGGACAGAGAAATGAGAGGAGGAAATGGATTCATCTGTTTGAAGGTGTAACTGCTGTGATATTTTGTGCTGCCATCAGCGAGTAAGCTCACTCTATTATAAACTATAAGGTCTCCTTGTGCTGTTCAAATATAATTATATATATCACAACCGAGTTTTAATCACAGGTACGACCAAACGCTCTTTGAGGACGAGCAGAAAAACAGGATGATGGAGACCAAGGAATTATTCGACTGGGTTCTGAAACAACCCTGTTTCGAGGTTTGTGCTTTTATTTCCTTTCTTTATCGTATTGGTTTAAACGTTGAAGAGACGCTTGAGATGGATCGTTTACGAAACCTTGGTTCTTTTATGCAGAAAACATCCTTCATGCTGTTCTTGAACAAGTTTGACATATTTGAGAAGAAGGTTCTTGATGTAAGAACTGAAGCATAGCTATTTCTTTAGTTAGGCAAGCAAGTCATGTGGTTTAACAAACCTTTCTTATTCGATGTGCATAGGTTCCGTTGAACGTTTGCGAATGGTTCAGAGATTACCAACCAGTTTCAAGTGGGAAACAAGAGATTGAGCATGCATACGAGTAAGCTTCTCTCCAAACTACTGATACTAAATTGTTACCATACTTTTGACCTTCTAATTTACACTTTGGACTCGATTAAAATAAAAAGGTTTGTGAAGAAGAAGTTTGAGGAATTATATTACCAGAACACAGCGCCGGATCGAGTGGACAGGGTATTCAAAATCTACAGGACAACAGCTTTGGACCAGAAGCTTGTAAAGAAAACGTTCAAGCTTGTAGATGAGACACTAAGAAGGAGAAATCTATTGGAAGCTGGCCTTTTATAACCTTGTTATTATATATCTCAAGTAAATTACATCTCTCAAGAAAATTTCAAAAACTCAATGACCTTGTAATTCATCTCTTGGGACAAATACTTCGCGATTCAATATTCGTTCTGTCTCGATGGCTCGGGATAGTTTTGATTTTCTCAATGTTTTGGTTAACATTGTTCTTTGTCTTTGTCTTCTTGTATTTTCTTTTTTCCCTTAAAAGCATATCATTTTAGTATATGTTAAGGCAAGCTAATCCAATGGAGAGACTAGAACATCCCCTAACTCTAACAGGTTGCTTCATCTAGCCCTGTGCTAGTTTAAGACAATCTTGTAGTAGTTTTTTTAGTCTAGGTGGATTTATTAGTGTCATTGTCTGATCAATGATCTTCAATACAAGAGTGTTCACGGGTTAGTCATGAAAAAGATAGTCAAGGTCGCTCCAACAAAAATGGTCGTCTGGATCAATTTTTGTTTTGTGACTGTTCTTATCTATTACTCAAAATTTTGAACAATATGAGTATTGAAATTATGCAACATTAAACCATGATTTTAATGAATTTTTGTTTTCAACTCTTTTTCATTACAAAAATAATTTGATGGTTTTTAAAAATATAAAATAAATCAATTATCTTAACCGGTTGTTTTGCCTGCTTGTCCTCTAGACCGGACCTTACCGTAAACTCCTATTAGTAGCCATTAGCCATGCGCGTTCGGGTTTCCGGGTCTGGTTCGGCTCATGTTATTCGGGTAGTCGGGTTTTCAGTTTTTCAAATTTATATACAATTTAACCGAGCAAAAATTGGGTTGGATTGGGTCAAGTCGGGTTGGGTTTTGGGTCGGATTTAGTTTTAGATCTTTCCGGTTATATCTCAAAAATTGGTTAAATTAGTTAAAATCGGTTAAAATTCGGTATATTTTGTATAATTATTTGTCTAAAATAAAAATAAATAAAAAATCGGGTATCGGGTTGTTTCGTAAATTCAAATCTCAATTTCTCCGAATTAAACCAAATTTCGATTTGGGTTGAACCGAAACCCGAAAAGAATCTGGTCGGCGGCTTCAGGTCGGATTAAAATCGCAGGGCTAGTAGCCATGGTCTCTTACCAAGGATTTTGGTCAAACAAACTCATACGGTGTTTATATTTACGAATTTAACTTCCCAAAAAAGTTCTCACATTAAAAACATGTCAAAAACTGAACTTCAAAAAACATGTAAAAAGTAAAGGGGTCGAAACTGAACATATACTAAAATATCATGTCAAAATCAGAAATATATTAAAAACATATATAGGCTCCACCGCTCCACCGTTTATTTATTTTTAAAATAATTACACTGAAGAACCCTGCAAAATTGAACTTTTTTCCCATCATTCTTCGCCGTCGTTTGTCTTCATAAGCCAAAGAATATTCCAATTCTTTCTTCTTCTCTTTCGTCAATAGATCCCAAAACAAAAACAGAGAAACCCATTAAAAAAAAAACAAACCTTGATTGATTGATTCTTCGTGATAGTGCAATTTATCTCCCTGGTGCAATCTTGTATGTATGTTGTAACAATGATTCTAATTTGATTTTGTTATATATATTAATCTCTCGTCTTATATTGATTGTTACGGTTATGTATATACGATCATGAGATTGGTTACGTTAGTTAGGGAACAATAGTGAATTAGTTGTTGATTCGATTTGATGTTTGGTCTTTTCTTGATTATGTTTTTTTATGTTTTCTTGCAGAAATTTTTTAGAACAAATTAAGTTTGGTAGTGATATGGATCCAAATGCGGTATTACCAAAGCGGAGATTCATACAACACGAGCTGTTTTCGCAGTTACATATACCGGGAAGCTTCGCATTCGAAGCGTTTAGTTGTATATCCAAGTTTACAGGAGCTTTGCTTTGTTGGTTTTCTCAAGGGAACTTGGAAATGGAAGTATGTAAATGTAACTATCATCAATGTGACAGCTTTGATTCTTCGAAGAACGTTAAGAGCTTTTCGATTGAACGACCGAGGTTCTCGAAAGATATTGTTACCTCTGGCTTGTCTAAATTCACTATTGTTCATCATTTTGTTAATGAAGCTGAGAGGTTACATTCTTGTTCTGTGCTTTCCTTGGCTGCTGCGTTGATACCGTCTTTGAATGTTATGTAAGTTTATCGAAATTGCGTATTGTTAAACTCTGTTTGAGGGCATTTTCTGATTGTTGTTTTTTTATTAGGTCTGCTTATGGACTTCCTCTGCCTTTAGGGAGTAGTGATGTTCAACTTTCGGATGATACTAAGAATAGGACTTGTCAGGTTGGTCATGAGGAATATAGTGGTTTGAGTTTTCAGAAATCGGACTGGACACGACAAACTGTAGAGCCTCGAACAGGGATCGAGTTCCCGATGTTGCTGAAGAAAAATGCTTCTCGGTCTAATTCTGAGGTTCTTATAGCTTTTTCTCCCTTACTTGTTATTATGTTAGAGTAACAAGTCATAGTTTACCAAAGAAGAGATTTCGAGTTTTTCGAAAATTTAATACATTTTGAAATTCATAACAATTTTAAGGTGCTTGTTGCAACTGGATCTCGGACAATGAAAATTATCAGAATTAAATCTCTTAAAGTATATGCATTTGGTTTTTGTAAGTGCATTCTAGCTTTGTATCTTTTTTCTAATATTTTATCGAACCATCTATCGTTTTTTGCTTCTAACTAAAAACTTCTCTGTGTTAGATGTTCATCCTTCCTCGGTCTGCCAGAAGCTTGGGTCAAAGTACGCTTCGATTCCAGCGAACAAACTGGATAAATGCGACGAATTATACAAAGACCTTCTTAGGTATTATAGCTTTGATTCATAGCAATCACATCTTGACTTTTATTTGTTTGGAATCCAATCTGAGGTTGAGTGTCTCTAGTTGGACATTTCTTCTGAAAGTCTTTTACTTGAGTTTTTTCAGGGAAGATATTGTAATGAGTGTGAGGCTTGTGGTTAACTACAATGGCTTGAAGATCAATACTGTGAGAGAGTAAGTGGAAGTTATACATTAGTGATTTGAGGCAGCCTCATTTTACGCGCATTACACTGACTGATAGATGGCTAAATAATCTCTTCCCTTGCTTGTCTATTTTTCCAGTGTTTTTGAGAAATCACTGCGTGCTCGTTTGGTGAAGGTAACTTATACACCAAAGTGAAATATTATTGTACACTCTGATAAGCATTGTGACTTACATTTTGCCATATCATAAGCTTCTCCATTCTTATTTCAGGCAAATCCAAAAACTGATTTCAATTGCTTGAATGATTTTGGTTCATTTTTCACACAAGACATTCCTATACCCGCGGTACCTAATGATTCACGCTTTACATTATAAACACACATAGAAGAATATATCTCATTTCAGTGGCTCGCTTATTTGCAGGGAACGATAATAGACTTTCGACGAACAGCAGATGGACAGCTAATCACAGAGAGTGAGTAAATATTCACACTAGGGAAGCTTTTTTCTCTATGTACTTTATATTGTATACTTTACCTGAATCTTGTAAACATTTGCAGTTGGCGGTAACCTGATTGGAGCTGTCCGAAGCAAGGACCTTTGTAGTAAGTTCTTCTTTCTAATGTTGTATCGTTCTTGCTCTTGTTTGCATACAAAGTCCAAGGGATAATGGTTTGCAAACATTGCAGGGGCATTTTTTGGTATGTACATTGGAGATATTCCGGTGTCTGAGCAGACAAAGGAGGAGATTGGTAGGAAAGTGATGGGAATCATAAAGAGATGCTGATCAATCACTTGTTAGACGTCCAACGGCTTCTGAGTTTTAGAAGAAGGCAATTGGGTAGATTTACTATGCGGTCATGCTGTGAATCAACATACTTTGTAAGGAGCTTGGAGGAAGGAGAATAACACTAATGGCATAAGTTGTATTAAGATTGTCTTGATTTATATGAAAGTACGTATGTTATGTGAATTTGTTTTGATTACTCTAAAATCAACTTCTTGTCATCAAGCAATTCCTTGTTTCCTCTTAGTTCAATGATCTTTTTGTCGTCCTAAATTATAATTAGGTATTGCGTTAAATCGACATTTATATAGAAAATTTTCAGAAAACAATTGCTAGAAATATTTTTGTACCTGGATCACTTCACCTCTGTAATAAATATAGCTAAATTAGTTATTGTTTGGTGAATAAATCTATATATAAATGTTTTAATATAAACTACAAAATGTATTATACAGTACCTGTCACGCGAAAGATGATCAATTACTATGGGATCTTATGTATTGTTCTTGTCCACCAAATTTTTTAAAGTCTTTATAAAGGTTACATACAAAAAAGGGTAATGACTTAGTTTTTTGTTACTAACTTAAGTTGTCTTAATTTTCTTGTATTCAGAATTTATTTTTACAAAAAATTATATCACATGTATAAACTTATATATGAATAACTCAATAACTCATAAGTACAAAACTAAATTGTACACCGTATTAAACTTCCTTCGCTCTTATTTCAAAATAATATAACTGAGCGTAGGAAAGAAATTGGCAAATGAAAAAATCAGAATTTATTTAATAAATTTAATGTGATGAGTAAATTAAACCTTTATTGTGTAGGCTGTCCTAAATGCGTGCATACAACACCAAAAATATAATATATTAGTTTTTATATAAATAAAAAAAATACAATGAAATTATGCAAAGTACATAATGTAATAGTAATATGACAATCAGAAAGATCAAACCTCTCTTCACGTTCGTGTATTGAAATGTTACTGAAATTCTTCAAGATCTGACTTAAATTTCTGCAATTTTTCATAAGCATATTTTTACCAGAATATATGTAATGTTATGCACATTTTAAGACATATTTTTGTGAAAATAAATGTAAATTTTAAGCATTTTTTTGGAAAAAGTAAGATTTAATCATAATTTTTTTATAAGGCATGCTCTAAATCATACAAGTTAAAAGAAGTAAAGATAAAAAAAA